CTCTCATGCCTCACACATTTCATGACCATCTTCTTAACTTATAATAAAAATAATAATAAGAATAAAAATAATATTAATAATAATTACAATTCAAATGTTTATCGCAGAGTCAAAGTCTATCATTGTTTTTTCAATTGTTAATCTTAATATTTGAGCACCCAGGAACGACAAAAAATATTTATCCCCTTTTACTTATTCATTATGACTATAGCGGTCTGTTTAAATTTAACTATAGTATCAAAAGGACATTGCAAATTAGTTTTTATACAACTGTTTAGTTCAGTCATAACTCATCGCTGTCTTCAAGGTTATTCATAGAGAATGTTTTTATTTTTTGCAGTCTTTTAACATATTCGTACAACAACACATCAAAACCACACAAACTCATGCAACTCGTCAGGCACAAACATGCATAATTTCAAGATCCACAACCTTGTATGATGCTGCAACCAATAAAAATAACATGGAAAACCGCAATCAACTATTGGTAGTTAGTTTGTTGGAAAAACATCATTTTGTAATCCTTTCAATATTTTTTGTTTTCCCTTTTTCAATTCAAAGTGTGATTATTGTCCCTACCAGCTTGTATCATTGTTCAAACTTTCAACTGTATAAACGACAACAACAGTTGATTGCTGCAATCACTGACCGAGACTGTGATCAGTAATCAGTATTTGAGAAATTTGGATGCAGCGAATAGTAATCATTTGTATCCAGTAGTACTAACGACAATCAGAGGTACCCGCAATCAGTTAACGGTAATAGCTACAACTTGCAATTATCTGCTATAGGTTGTAACAGCGGTTGCCAATGACTACATTTACCTATAATGATCTATTATAACCACAAGATGCACACTCCACAACCCTTGTCGCAACAACAAATTCGCAACTTGATATTGTATCAGTCCTAGTAGAGGTAAATATTACGGCATTTGTAGGTAAGTCTTTTTTTTTTCCCTCATTCTCTTCTCTTTTCCTTCTTTTTTACCTTCTCCTATGCTCTCAATCTTCATCATTTTATTTTATTTTATTTTTTCTCACCCTCTCATGACTTTTCTCCTCCTTTCTTGCGTTATGCTCATTCATGTTTTTGTTACTATTGTCTTTCTCCGAATTACTAAATCAAACATATCTGATTGCAATTCTTGTCCATGAGCATGACATTACTTCGAAAAAAAAAAAAMAAAAAAAAAAACACTAAAATAACAGTTTTAAGGCAATGACCCGGACCATTCTAACAACTACTTATAACCGGATGATCATAAGATCTGGTTGAAGAGAAGTCTGACTATAATCACAAATCGAAAAAGGGTAATGAAACACGTAAAGCATGATCGTTTGCTTGTGTGGTTGGTGAAGAGTAAGGTAGTGATTATATTTCGTCAGATTTGTTGTACTTAACTCCAAGGGTTTGTGTGTGTATGTTTATGTTGTCTTATTTACTTCTCATAAAAACACAAAAGAGGCATATGACTGTGTCAAACTATTTTATAAATTTATTATCGACCCGCCTGAAGGGTAAGTGCATATGAGCACAAACTAATTAAACACTCCACAAGCTGGTTGTCTATATGAGACCAGCAATGTTATTAAAAAATATTGAAAGGAACCACATGTGAGTTTTGAGCGGAGAGGGTGTCAGAGATGACAAAAATAAAGAAATAGGAGCTCCAACTAGTACGGAAGATATAACAAAGGGGAAAATTTGATGTCTTGCAACTTCTGACATCGGTCTAAGGAAGCACGATGCTTATATTTCCCCCTCTACTTGTATGAATCTAGCCTGCTCCATCGAGCTGATTCACAATAATAATAATAATAACTAGAAAAAACAAATGAGAAAAATAAAAACTCAAAGAAATCTTACTTTGTGTCTCGAGTTTTTCAAATATTCACTCTCTCGTGGCTCAGGTTCATTAATTGAAAGCTGGTGCAACCAAAAGACCACTGTAGCAACCGCAGAGAGATTCTGACAACTCGAGCACAAGATCTCGAACTTATATCCGAAGTGCAAATGTCACCCGACTACCAGATAATAGTATAGCATGTAAGTTCTCCTTCCTTCCGTACTACTCGTTTTCTTCTTTTCTTTCCCATACCACTCGTTTTTTTATCTCCCCCGTATTTAATCCTTGATATGAATGTATACATGCTACTTTGCACGTTGGGTACAAACAAAAATTAGAGAAAGGAGTTCACCTGTCCCCTCTTTGTCGTTTTATCTCATTCCCCGCTTGCTATTTTTTTTGTCTTTTTCACAATTTTTTTTCCTTCTCTCTCCCTTCGTCCCTCCTTTTTGCCGTCACTTGCTCACTCTCGATCGTATTCCTACTCTTTATCATGGTTACTGGTTGTTTGCGCTAGCTCGAGATCTTGTTATACTCTTTCTTCCTCACGTCCTTCCGCCTGTTCGTTTTTCATGATTGATCGTTTGATTTGGTGAATGAATGTATCAAGCTACATTCCACAATCGGGTACATTTAAAATGAGGATGTGTTGTGTTGGGGGGAAACCTGTCGTAATGGTCTTGAATCTCGTTACCTCATTCCTTTCCGTGATTCTGTTTTCCTTTTATTTTCCTTCTTGTTTTTATTTTTCTCTCTATCATGTTTTCCTACCCCATGCTTTAACTTGTAACATCGCTTCGCCTTCTCAAAATCTCGTTTGCACTTTCTTTTATTGCTACCTTACTCATATTTGTTTTTCACATTAATGATTGTTCTCATTCTCATGTCTACTATTTTAGGTTCATGCCAGTGTCCGCTCTCACGCTTGTTTTCATACTCGGGCTCATAAGTGTGCTTGATGATACCCTGTATGCTTGTGCCTTTTGCTATTGGCGCTCACTATTCACTAGCGCGCGCTCAAGCGTGTTTTCACTATCACATTAGCATTTGTTTTTCATTAGATTTTATTTGCACTCGTCGTTCATGCTCGTTATCGTCTCCGCACTTGCTCACGCTTACTTGCTAGTGACCCTTCTCGTTTGCTTACTCGGTCTCGTTCACAATCGCACTTTAGCCTCCACTTTCCTTCGTGTCAGTGTTCATTGTGCCTTCTCTTACTTTCCATCTTGACTTTTCGTTTTCTTGCACACTATCGCACTCACAACCACTTACACTTGCGTTGGAGTGATCGGTATTTTGCTAGTTTTCACGCTAGCTTCCGCTTTCTCGCCTCAGCTCCAACTTGCGCTTTCTCTCTCGTTTCCTTCTCATTTCTGACGAAAACGCTTGTACTTTCTCTCTCTAACTGCATCGCTCTCCTTACTACTCTTAAATCGAATCGATCACGGTAGTGATTCCTCCATCAACGATAATTGATTTTTTTGCATTTGAGTCTCGACAGTGTAGTAGTCGAGGTGCAGAAAAAAACAGAGCAACTAAGATCTTCTGCATCTTTTTCAAAAAAACATGTATGGATCCAGATGCTATGACCAATTTGTGCAACAAAACTTAGTTTTTTAAGCAAAAGTAATTGATATAAATTATGACTTATGTCAATGCACGACTGAATCTACCTCGTAGTGTGAGGTAGGTTCATTATGGTTAGTAAAATTTTTCGCATGAAAAAAACTAAACCAAGACTATGCATCTACCAGAATCTTGCAATCTCATTTTTCACATTTTACTGGGCGACAAAATTGTGTCATCTTTCAATAATTAGCACGACCTTCCTTTTTCCATATGCTTAATGAATCTCCTTCACAACTCATGTGGTTCGAATCCCGGCTGACCATAGGCGGACTGAAATAGTGGTTGGATGAACTTCAATTCCTTACTAAACAGAACCGATACAGAAATATGATGAACTCGTTTCCTATATCCTTTGCTTGACGATGCGCATCGGAACGTACCGGACCCGCTCCCACTTCGGGGAGAGGAGGAGCAGACTAATTATAAATGAAGGTTCAAACTTAGTCTACCTAGTGAAACGAACCACTGACCCATTTCAATGATAGGATCAGACCAATTTTTGACTGTTGCAGCCCGTCACGATAGGCAAACATGTTTTTTTGGTTACCCATACGACCGGTGTATTTTGTTAATTTTTAACCCATTCTCTAGTCTACGGCGGAGCGAACTGTCGATTTTTATGTTGATGAGTTCGACTGCCGCAAACTCGAACTGAACTAATTTACTTCGTCGTATTGTTCCCCGACATCTGATCGGAAGTAGTACGTTGAAGGGGAAAAAAAAAAAGATTTGGACGTGATCATGGTCATATACATTCGGGAAAATACTAATGTGATCATGTTGTTAGTAAGCGCCGTCAGTGAGTGCCTTCCCTTAGAACGTGGAGGACGCTCTACCTTGCTGGCAAGACACACAAAAAAAAAACAATATTGTTTTTTTTTTTTTTGCTGCCGTGCTTTATGGTCGTTTATCCCCCTATTGGGCCTGCTAAGGTTTTCCATAAATTCAGAAAGACAATTTTTTTGCCTGGGCGGGGTACTGGTGGTTTAACCATTTTCGTAATCTACGCGTGCTGTGACAGTCTGCGTGACAATTTAACTATCTCCACCTTAGTGGTCGAGAAATCTGTCTCATGATGTGGCGCTAAAGTGCTCTTACTCTTTACTTTATACTGGTTCTGTCATGGTAGCCGGCGTTGACGTTGTGTTGACTGCAAAAACATGGGCAAATACCCTTGTAAGGGTAGTTGGTCCCACGAAGGGTTGGGCTACCAAGGGATCACTTCGTGTTTGCAACCGTGGTACTATTTGAAAACCGAGTCCCACGGGCCTAAGGTACCATTATGGACGAATATGACGGGTTGGGGTACCGAAGGATCACTCTGTGACCTTGAGGATGTGCGAAGAGGGGGTCCCAGGCTCCGTTTTGGGGGGGTACTCCAGTTGGGGTGTGCGCGTCAAGGGTTCAAGGCGTCATTTTCGGGGAAGGCTCTTGCAGAACGAAAAGACCCATACAATTTCGACGGGCCGGAGGCCGCGAAAGAGGCAGCGCCAGGGCACATCGACTGACTGGATGGCGGGGAGCGATCAGGAATGCTGATTGAAAACTACTGGCGAGCACTTACCCGATCTCTTTCCCTCCGCCGCTTGTTTCCTGTACCATTGCGCTCCTCCGTCGCCGAGCCGGACTCCGTCGGCCGGCAGTCGTACTTTCTCTCAGCCGCGTCCATCCATCGCCAAGATGGTGAATCCCTTAGTGAGGAGGAAGATCGTGAAGAAGAGGACGAAGAAGTTCATTCGTCCTCAATCCGACAGGAAGATATGTGTGAAGGTAAGTGTTCACTATACTGTCCACGCCCTCTATTGTCATGCATGCATGTCTTTCGTCGGTGGTTCCGTCGGGGGGGTGAGTGAGGAGCGGGGAAAGGGGAAAGCTGAAAGACAGGTGCGTGAGGAGAGAGCGAGGAGAGGAAGGGAGGAAGGGGAAGTGGAGGGGAAGAGAGGGAGGAGAAAGAACTGCGGAGGGACATGTACACGGACAGAAGTATCCAGGAAGAAGAGTAGGGGATAGGACATGGGGGCGCAAAGTATGCAGGAAGAAGAGGATGGGCATGCGAAAGAGGTGCAAGGAGGGTGAGACCGAACAGGTAGTGAGGAACTGGGAACAGTACGTGGGTATGTATGCAGGAAGAGGAGTAGGGGATAGGACAAGGGGACGCTAACCATCATTGATCATACCGGCGAGGATTTGCCGGATCTATTCCTACACGTCTGACTATTCTTTCGCGATTCCCTCGCATCTCTCTGTGGGGCCGTGCGTGGTCGGCGGGCAATCCTACTTCGTTGCGTCCATCTATGAAGAAGACGGTGCTGCCGTCTATGAGGCGAAAGACTGGAGAGAGGACAAAAGCTTTTTCGCCCCCATGCCATCATATCGCTGCCCTCTGTATCATCATATACTCACGTATAATACGGTTGGTAGCGCAGTTCACGGAGGAAGGAGAGGGAGGTGGAGAAGAAGATGGAGGTAGCCCCGTGTGGAGCGAGAGAAGGAGAGCGCGTACAACAAAGTGGGAACTCAGAGGCGGAAAGCGAGGGAAAAGAGCAGGAGACGTAGACGTATGACCGTGGTAGGGTTTTGATGAAGGTAAACGGTGGGAGAGTAGAAGGCAGGCGCTGTGAGAAACCTGGAAAGAGGGAGATGTATGGACGAGTTGGGAAAAGGGATTGGAGAGGGGGACACGGGGCTCGGCAGCCGAGAGTGGGAAGAGGACGGAGGAGAGGCAGCGGTGCTTGTGGGTAGAAGCATGGTAGGGGGACAGGTATAGCAATGACACAGGAAATTCGCATCGGAGAGCTGGAGAGATAGAGGCGAGAGTTCGAATACTGAGCAGTACTGACGAGCTCATGGTTGGGGAATGGACTCCGTGGTAAAACTGCGACCAGGCGTCCTCAACCTGGAAGGTCTCTGTGACTGAAGCCCGCGGGGAATAGGATCGAAGGGGAATCGATTTGCAGGGTGGAAAGGTGAATAGACGAAACTATTGAAACGAAATGCGAATGAACGGAACGCCTATTACGAGAAATCGTGAAACTACCATGGTGCTGATGGCCTGGTGCATATTTAGCTCGGCGGCGGAGAAGACGACGTCCTAGCACTTGCAATCGGTTAGAGTGGATGAAATTTATGATGGGCGCTAGTTTTGTATGTTGTTTGTCTTCTCCAAGATGGAATACAGTCGATCAAGGTCGAGGCTTCGCAGACAGACTTGAAAGCTGGGCTTGGAAGTGTATCGCTCGTGGAGGGTTCTTTTTAGGGTTTTGGCTTTATTCTTTTTCGAGGTGCTCGGGGGTGTAGAATCGCGACGTGAACAAAGTGCGCTGGCCCAGCCTCTGTGATCTTCGCTCAGTATTAGAAGCTTCTCTTGTCTACTGCCGTAGTTGAAATGGGTAAATTTTGTTGTGCAAACAAGTGATCATTGTAGGGTGCGCTTTTGTGGTAGCAGCCTAAGCTCTCTTAACGGTATCGTATTTGTGTAATGATGCGCTTCATGTTTCTTCAATTGTTCTGTCAAAGAATGCTCGAATGCGGTGATGCCCTCGTTGTTCTATTCCGTTCGTCCGTCGTGGATTTCCTCCATGGGACTGCCATTTCCACCTCTGCGGTGGAAAGTGCTCTGTACATTGCTTGAGAGTGTGGTGGGAATATGAGAAGTACATTGCTTGAGAGTTTGATGGAAATACGAGTAGGGAGTCCTGACGAGTCTGCTTTGGCTATTTGTTCTGTGTTCTTATGGGGTCCGTTTCACACTGGCAGCCAAACTGGAGGAAGCCGAAGGGTATCGATTCCCGCGTTCGGCGTAGGTTCAAGGGAACGACGTTGATGCCAAATATTGGTTATGGGTCGAACAAGAAGACGAGGCATATCCTTCCCAACGGTTTCAAGAAGTTTGTCGTCAACAACGTCAAGGAGCTGGACGTTCTTCTCATGCACAACAGGTTAGTGTTTGGAGCAGGTTTCTTTTCTTTTTTGCATTCCCTACGAGCGCTGTTTTTCGTTTTGTATTTCCTGTGACCACGCGCTCGGAAGTAATCGAGCGTCTCTTGGTGGTCGGCTCGCTGTCGTCTTTTGTCTCGCTGTGTTGTGCCACCTCCCCCATGCTATGTCTGCGTCATTCAGCCGTTTCTTCCAGAAGTTAAGGTCCCGAAGAGCGACGAGTGCAGCTGTGTGAAAACGTCTGAGATGACGGCGTGCGATGTCGGTTTCTCTCCAGTCGAAAGTGGACGTCTTCTTTTGCTTGACTAATGTCTTCGTTTCACGTGATGCTGAGCTTTCGTAGGCCGTGCGCTCAGGCGTCCTTCCGGGAAACCGTAAAGATAACTGTAGACTGTTAAGAGCCAAAGGAGCCTTCTTTTGAGTAGCTCGGGAATGTTTCCAGTTACGCCTGTTGTTGGGGTCGCTTCCTTTCGGCTATAACGGTGGCTGGTTTAGCGGAGAACGCACATGAACCAAAAAGAAAGAAGCTCGCGGAATGAAACCGAAGAAGACACAGGGCAACCCTAAAATGATGCCTAGGGTGTTTCCGGAAAGCTGAACCAAGAAGGATATAATGAGAAGGTAAGTATGATTGGTTTTGATTGTTGTATTGCAACGTCGATTTCGAAAATGCTAAACAAATTACAGAAAAAAAAATAGAGGATGAAGGTACGAGTGCGTTCTCCGTAGTTTGGAGGGTCGACAAGTCTTTTGGGGATTGAAATCTCTTCTCGCAGCCGAGGAAGGAAAGACATTATGGAACTGAATGTATACAGAAATTGTACGTGCGGACGCTATTTAAAGCGTGAACCCTAAATCCCCTAATGTGGATGCGAAGCTTACAGTAACAAACCGTTTGTCATGTGCTGCGATATTTAAAACAGTGGGTTGGGACTGACGAATTGGTTGCCGTGGGGGGTATTACAAGCGGTCCTCACTGAAACAGCTCTCTCGCGCGGGTTGTTTGCGGAAAATTTATTTGGCATTTTCATTTTTTTGCACGGCAGCATATTTGGCATTTTCATTTTTCTGCACGTCAGCAATGGGTGTCGTCTGTTTTTTTCGGAGTAGAACAGAACATCTAAAGAATTCTACTGCCACCACCAGTGTGGCAGGCATATGTTAAGTGGTCTAGCAGTCATCGAAAGTCATCCACAAACGTAATGGGATGTGTGCTCTTGAGCTTCATGGTTCAAAGAATTGTCGTCAAAACACTCAGTATACCTACAGTTGTGGTAAATGTGAAATGGGCAGCCTCGTATCGAAAGGGTAGATGGAGGAAGGGTCGTTATTTTGATGTAATGGGGTTGTTCCTTTCCCAGCCCAGTCGTTCTCTGATCCGCGTCGTCGGTAGGGTGGTGCGCCTTCTGCAGGTTGGGAAATTGTGTTAACTGGCTCAGTCTGCCTTGTGTCCTGTTGCCCCCTGCTCCTTGGCGTATGCGATGGGTTGAACTTAGGACTACCGCGTTAGTCGTTGTACATAATAACTGATGACATCTGCTTTTGGCTGTCGCCCTATTCTGCAGGGTGTTTTGTGCCGAGATCGCTCACGGTGTTTCCACTCTCAAGAGGAAGGCCATTGTGGAGAGGGCAGCCCAGTTGAACATCAGAGTGTCGAATGGAAGAGCTCGTCTCCGCAGCCAGGAGGACGAGTAAAGAGGGATCACTGTGGGCGCTGTGTAGCTTCTACCTCTTTTTCCTTGTACTCGACGTACGTCAAGCAACTTAGCTCTTCCTCGAAGACAAGGGAAGATTCTCTATCGCGTATGTGCGAGGGAGTAGATAGAATGTGTATGGGACAATGGGCTCGTCTTCTTGTCGCTCGGTCGGACAAGCTGGAAAGTCTGCGACTCTTTCGCGGGATGCTTGCTTGGGAAAACCGTTGGTAATGGAGAGAGAGCTGGGGTTTCATGAGGTACTCTGATTTTCTGGTTTAGTGCTGCTGAAGGTTGTGCTAGGCTAGCAGAGAATTCCTCGAGTAATGAAGCGGACAGGGCGCCATATCGGCGACTTCTGGGAGTTTGATCCTCGTACAATACGTATTGGAAACTAAGTTGTTGGGGTCAGAAGCCAAGCTTTCGGTATCTTGAACTCGTCAGAATTTTGGATACGGAGTTACAATTTTTCCTCGGGATCAATATGGACCGTGTGTGTCCTTGAGCACAATTTGTCGTGGTTGCTCAAATCTCTGCTTCGCTTGGAAGTCTCCGGGGGTGCTCTCTTGTCTACACTTTTTTGGCTACGGCAGCAACATCTGCTCTCTCGGTGTTGAGCTGTTTTCCCAACCAGTCTGTTCCTATTGTACATCGCCGCCTCGTTTGTTGTTTTGCCAGCGTGGTACTTCAACCCTATGTTCTTCCCACGAAAAGAACGCCACGTCGATATAGCTGCAAAATTCTGACCAAATGCACCGTATCCTCTTTTTGACCAGCCAGATACATCAAATCTTTCCTAGAACAGAACGCGCAGTCATTGTAGCTGCAATGTTCTCCCCAGATACACAAAACAATGACCGGCTGTTGTGTTCGGGTGACGAAGGTTACTCCCCTGGTCTTATCTCACGACATCGTTTTCTTCTGTTGCGGATCATCCTGCCCTCGCCCACCTTCAACTGAGCCTTTCAAATAAGTGTGTGTGTGTGTGTGTGTGTGCGTGTGTCATATTGCACAACCCCGTTATGAAAAGCATGACTGCGCCACATCGACTCATCAGGAGGATGAACCCCGACAGTGTGGCCAGAATGCATTTGACTGATGGTCAAATAGATAAGGACCCACCGCGTCGCCCAGACTTCGTGAGCAGAGAGTTCAGCCCGGGAGCATTTGGGAAGATCGCAGACCTAATCGCTCCTGAGTGGAAAATGTCGAGGGGAAGGGGTCTTCGAGGAGCGATTAGGTCTGCGATCTTCCACTCAGACCTGCCGTGTTCACCTGAAAATAACGCCCGGGCTTTGTGTGCGAATATAACGCTCGCCGGGCTTTATATTCGTTTATAACGCCCGGGCGTTATATTCAGTAAATTCGTGGTAACTTCGGTGAGGTCCCAAAATTTCGGGGGAAGAATAAAAAAATTCTGTAAAAACAATGTGTTGTCCAGGATTGGAATGCAACCAAGTTTTGGCTGAGGGTCACTTCAGAATTCCTTATGAATTCTGAAAATCAAATAAAAACGAAAACAAAAGCCCAAATATACCCCTTGGAAGTCAAAACCCCATTCAACCCGTATACCACCTTCCCCGCCTTTTAAAACCCATGTATGCTACCTCGTCAAGGCACTCTGCCCATGTAACAGTCAAATATAACGCCGGGCGTTCTATTCGAATATAACGCCCGGCCCTTTTATTCGAAAGGGCGTTCTATCTGAGAAACAGAGGAGTAAAAACGAAAATCTCATCTTTTTAGAGTAAGTTGAATATACCGCCTCGGTGTTATTTTCGGGTGAAGACGGTAGCAGCACATTGTTGTATAGAGGCAAATCCTTGTGCAATGGCATCGACGGTGCCGTCAAGCGGCTGCTTGGGTAAACCAACCTCGCCGATACCTGTCAAACAATCAACGCGCGGGCAGCATTGCAGCTCTCGTGGACATCAGATATCTTTCGAGTTTCGTGCGTACTGTGTGAGTTTCGTGCGTACTGTGTCCTCCAGAAAGCAATGTACCCTCGTTATGAATCTTTTCAAGAATAGTATTGCCTACTCTGTCCTGCAAAACACAACACTCTCGTTATGAATTTTTCCAAGCATAGTAAGCAGTATGCACGCTGATCATGAATGTGTGTACAGGCTATCTTTTGATCCGAATCTAGTCATGATTTGCGTCGTGTCCGGAGAAGGGCGTTTCGCTTTGCCTCTGCACAGCGTGAATTGGTAACTCGTGCGAACTCACGTGACAGATCGTGAACTACCCTTCATCCCCCGAATAGAACGTACGGTCATTTTGGCTGCATCTGGACAGAAAGGTGAGCCAAGTACGGCTATATACGTTCTATTCGGGGGAAGACGGCCGCAAACATCGGAGGTTTGGTGAATGCAATATAAGTTGCTATAAGGGGTAAGTGGGGGTTGGGTTCACAAGCGATGCACGTGTGCTTGTTTTTTTATAAATAGTGCTGTGTCGCGCTGATGCTCGTGTTGGCAAAGGCGGTCAGGTCAGAAGTGGATGGAAGTCGGTAGGGATGTTTGGCAATGAGAAAAACTCCTTTTGCACTCAGTGGGGGTTTGGAAGGTCGAGGAGAGTGGGTGGTGGAGAGGATCTTTTGTACGCATACTGTCTGCGTTTAGGAGCTCTCGACAAAACATGTGCAGAATTTGAAACGTTCACTGCGAGGTCGGACGGTCTGGAGCACTTGGATGAGCTGGATACCGTTGTTGGCTGTCAAGCTATTGGATGAGCTGGATGCCGCAGCCGGCTGTCTAGCCTCTGCGAGTGAATGACAGTTGCACATGGGGGAAGGGGGTCTACGTTAGCGAAGCGCTTCTCATAACTGCAGTTCCCTGGCATGGAATGCGATTATGTATGTTGATGTATGTGCCCGATGCCAACGCATCTGAACATGCATGACTGTGTATGACGGTCAAGTTTCCCTCCCTCGGAACGATCTATTGATTGCCTTGTTTGGAAACACAGCTGTCGATGGTGCTGATTGTTTCCCGTCTTGCTGCTCCTCTCTGCTGTCTTTCTCTCTGCTCTGTCTTTGTCTCTCTCTCTCTCTCTTTTTCTCTCGCTCTTTCTGTCTGTGTGTGTCTCTCTGTGTATGTCTCTCTGCGTTTGCCTCTCTCTCTCGCTCTGTGTCTGTCTCTGTGTCTGCCTCAGTTTCTCGCTCGGTTGGCTCCACGACTCAGGGGACGGTTCCTAGCAAAGATGCTGAGGTAATGCTAGGTAAACGTCGAGGTGTGATGGATCCCCTTTCAGTTGTTTGGCTGGGTCGCACACAATGAGCATGTAATCGAAAATTGTATTCCGCTGGATCCCCTTTCAGTTGTTTGGCTGGGTCGCACACTGAGCATGTAATCGAAAATTGTATTCCGCATAAGTTGAACGACTAGTGGTTGAATCACCTATCGCCCGAGTTCTCCTCTTGGGCTGGTATCTTTTGTGGCACAAGGAATAGACTGTATTCTTTTCTTTCTCTTTTTTTTGATAGAACGTCGATGACGGGGTGTAGGGGAGGTGCTGATAAGACCCGACGTCTCCTCTACTATCCCCGCTTGTTGGACGGCTCCGTTCCATTGGTGGGGAGCTGCACCTGCTGGAAAACGGGTGTAGGGTCGCTTTACATCATAACGAGGAGCCAGGTGACATATGCCACTATGTCAAGTTATATAAGACGAGCAGCATTGATTGCCCTCTTTGCAAGGGGATCCACTGCCCATCTATCTCAGAGGTGGACTAATACCAATCTTCAACTGCTATCAAAGGTATCATTAACCTCTACTGCACCATCATACCAAAATTCCACCCTGTCCCTGACACGAGGCAGAATTCCAGCCGTTACACCCCGGCCTTCTGCAAGAGTGAAGCTTCCCCGAGACCCTCCCTACCGGAAGTTACCCTGCAAGCAACTGTTCCGCAGTCCATATCCACGAATCCTGAGAGAAAATTATATGCGAGCCCATCCTGACTATATCAGCGGCTCGAATTCAACTCGAGAGTTCATTATTAATGCGCATGTCAGGTAATCAGTGTGTCCTCAAGAGATCATTATTATGCGCATGTCAGGTAATCAGTGTGATTGGAGAGAAAAGCAAAGAATCCCCTATGGCCAAACTACCGATATCATACTGTTGTGATCGCGCAAGGGAACTTCATGTGCTTCGCTCCCGTACCCCAATAGAGAGCAAATCAACAAACCAACGCTCTTCCTACGTCGAGCTAATTATAAGCACCAGGCCTCCAAAGCTCCACCTGTTATGTTGCAATTCTATTGTAATACTAGCATCAGGGGTGAAAGGAGAAATCGGCAAATTGTCCTCCACCCATACCCTCCTAATCAACACCCCAAATCTCTCCGTCCCCTCATCCGAAGCTTCTTGTACCACAGTTGTCCCCACCCTCAGTATTTGTGCCATCGGCCTGGCTTGAAGATGAAACCCTAACAATCCCCAGAGCTCTTACCTTTCCAAAGTCACTCGCAACCACCACAGCACCGAACCAGAATGGGGTTCAGGATAACCCACCCCCCTGTATTCAGAACGAGCGAATTGGTCCTCTCCTCTCAACGCTCTCCAATTATCCTCCATCTGTTCCTCCACATGTTCCTATTCCTGTCGAGTATTTGCAATACGCGTAGTTGCAACCGTCTTGTTGCGCGATTCACTCCGTGCTGATGGTTACTCTTGCCCACATCCGCTACCCAGGCGCGTATGCAGCACAGACATCGTACATCTTTTTCCAACAGGCGGCGTCATGGAAGATCACCCAAAGGAAAACAGGAAAGATCACCCAAAGGAAAACAGAAAAGATCACCCAAAGGAAAACAGAAAACGAAAACAAACAAATATCAGGCGGACACCCGGTAAGGATTGCGAAAGAGTGTTGCGTTGTATCGGTTGGCTGGTTGATTGTATCAGGCACCTGGACCACCGCCTGCGTACCAGGAGTACAGAGGCATTGACATGACCGGAATCGAGGTCGCAGGTCCGAAAGTGAACAAAAAACATGGAGAACTGAGAATATAAGTGGTGTCTGTTTTTGGGGAAAAACAGCCTTATTGTTGAAGTCCGCAGTTTCCGTGGTGATAGGAGTTGCTAGGGAGTGTTGCCCCTCGTGGACAGCTGCTTTCTATTGGTGGGGAGATGCACATAACTGGGTCCAGCATCCCATTGAATACAACCAAGGCCTCCACAAATACCGTACAATACCAAGAGCGCCCTGCAGTTGTGTAATCACACATATTCTATCAAGGCTCATAAAACCACTCTCTAAGATTATCAAGGCTCATAAAACCACTCTCTAAGATTTTCTCCGTGATGTTGCGTCCCTACCCCTCCGCCAGAAAACCGAGGTATCGGTGTATTTCTCTGTCTCTCTCTTTCCCATGTCCTCTCTCCCCTTCCTCATTCCGTATCCTTCTTAATCAATGCAGGCCCCAAGAGTGGGAGGAGGACGGAACTTTCCACAGCAATTGTAACAGGGGTGCTGGGCCCAGTTTCCTGTGCATGTCGTTCCCAATGCATAAGACCGGAGCCACCGCAGAGCAGACCTCCCATCAGACATGGGGTCTTAGTCGTGCCTGATGGTGTGGCATTGCAGCTGGTGTTAGAAGAAAAGACAAGGATTTTAGCTTTCCATCCTCTTCCCATTGCCCCTACCGCAGTCCAATCTATCTGAGAGTCGGGTGTGTGCAGTCGATGTGGTCGGGGAGATGAATCATATGATTGGCCATTCCGTCTGAGAATGTGGAGAGCTGACCGACCTCAGGGAACCCGCAGTCCGACTTTGCATTCCGGAGTCTGAGCTCTGTAACCCATCACGCATCCAGTAGTCATCCAACCAATCATTGATTTGAACGATAGTTATCCTGTGGCCTGCTCGCATCAAGGTTACATGCCCCTCCACCACACATGGGGAGATGTGTGCCGTCTCTCTAAAACGAGCTGGAAAAGTAGATCGCTGGAAAAGTAGATTTCTCGAAGAGAGCCCTAGAAAGATGTTAGGAGGGTCAGGAGGTATGGTGACTCTCTGCTGCGTTCACTGTGCAATGGGCTGTCTCTCTCTCACAAACACAACACAAACACATGAAGAAAAAGCAGGAAAGAGCTGCCATGGTGGTGCCCTTTCCACCCCTCCCCCTCTCCCACCCAATCAAAATGTGTGTTCAATCAAACACTCTCTGTCTCTATCATACACACACGACCGCACACAGGTTGTGGCAAGTCCGATGAAACAGTCTGGCACGATAGTGCCTTTCTTTTGTGGAGTCGTAGCGAACATGACGGGGCCTGTCCCACCTTTCTGTCTCATGCCCCCTCTCGCTCTGTATGGCTCCCATGTCATTGAAGGTGTGTAACTCTCTCTCTCTCTCTCTCTCTCTCTCTCTCTCTCTCTCTCTCTCTCTCTCTCTCTCTCGCTCGCTCGCTCGCTCTCTCTCTCTCTCTCTCTTCCCGGATCACTAGAGAACCAGATATTTCCAGCAGGTGCAGCTCCCCACGAATAGACTGATCAACTGGAAGACCTATTAGGAGGGGATTCTCATATCACCTCTCCTAATAGGAACCCCGGTCTCTTTTCCAAAAGAAAAGAAGAAAAAGGAAAAGAAAGAAAGAACAAGTGTGAAGAACAATAAAAGGAGGATGATGAAGGCAAGCAGCAGGTGGAGGAGGTAGAGGACAAGTTCATGTGTGTGAACCACATCTCTACCAGGCAGTGCTGATCTGTTAAGTGTCACCAAGCTCAGCGGTCAACAGCTGAACACAATTGGTCTGTATAGGAGAGTCTCTTGGCAAATGTATCTTATCTGCGGCCAGTGTGGAACTTGTATAGAATTATTGTGAAAATGACCTGGCATCCGATAGCATATCCGGCTAGAATTGCCATATTCCGACCAACATCAACGTCTGTCATTCCGAAGCGCTCAAGAATCGCCATCGCTTCTGGCGATGTTTCTTGGCTGAAGTGCTTGTAAAGAAAACTCTCAAAAGAGTACGAGTGGAACGCCAAGTAGTACCCCCAGATCCAGTACTTTGGAATGGACTTGTGCGGCACCATGAAGCTTCCCTTCTTTATTGAACAGCGTGCAGTGTTTATACGAGAACGAGCCAACTCATCACTTAACGTGGTCAGCTACGTGTTGGCAAACTTCCTTGCTGCGCTGCCAGGAATCGTTATGATCGCGCTTGTTTCGTCATTGCTGGTGGTGTATCTTGCAGACATCAACTCTTTTGACTGGTTCCTTGCCAACCTGTTTCTCTCACTGGTGGTGTCCGAGTCCATGATGCACGTCATCGGCGCCGCAGTCCCGCATTACATAATTGGCATTGCATTGGGCGCCGGAATCTTCGGGATGTTCATGCTTTGCGAGCAGAGGCACTATGTCCTGTGGGGTGATGTCATCATTTGTCCGCAAGTACATTGTGCCAACCATGAACGATAGCATGATGTACATGAATAGACGCACCCATAAGATGCCTGGATTGCGAATGTTATTGATGGAACTGCGGTAGATGATCACCCAGAACTGCCGCCATGCAGACGGTGCGATGGGTTCCAGTGGTTTGGTGGCTTCCATGGTTACTTTGAGTCGATCCTCTTCGATCTGACTCGTGATGGTCGCAGCAGCCGTGCTTGAGGCATAGGCGTTGATGAGGGCGGGGATGTCGGCATGGCCTTCGAAGTCGGCATTCACGAGTTCAATGAAGTACTCAGCGGGGTTGGAGTACGTCGGACAGGCATAGTCAGCAGAGGCGAAGTGGTCGATGCTCGCACTGCACGGCCCAAAATACACAGTCTTTCCTTTACTGAGGATCATCAGATTGGAAAACATGTCAAAGACCAGTGACGACGACTGGTGTATGGTGCAAATCACATTCTTTCCTTCCTGACAAAGTTTCGTGATGAAGTTGACGACGTTATAGGTTGCTGATGAATCCAAGCCCGACGTCGGCTCATCCAGCAACAGGATTGATGGTTCCGACAGCAGTTCGATGGCAATGCTCAGCCGGCGTTTTTGACCACCAGAGATCCCCTTGTGGAAGATGTGGCCTATCAGCGTGTTTTCACACACGCTTAGGCCCATCTCCTCAACTACAGCCTGCACACGCTCGTGGATCATCGCAGCATTGACAGTACACGGAAGCGAGAGCTTAGCGGCCATATTCAGTGTCTCACGGACCGTAAATGATCCCAGCAGTGATTCTTCCTGAGCAACTTACCTTGTGACAGCCCGGAAGGTATTGACCCGGCGCTTCTCACCGTTCAGTTCAATCACCCCCTCGATGCGACCAGAGCTGACCCGATCTGCAAGAATATCCAAGAACGTGGTCTTTCCCGATCCTGATGGACCCATAATAGCAGTAAACTCTCCCGGTTGAGACCGGCCTGTGACGTTCTGGAGGATGACCTTCTTGCCATCACGGTTCTCGTTGCTTGCCTTTGTCAGTACCGTGAACGTGAGCTTCGACCAGCTCAATGTGCATGGATTCTTCGCGTGGCCAAGTCCTGCCGATTCGGATTCCCCAGTGGTGGTAGCTTCTTCCATGTCCCCCATGGGATCCTGATAAACTGGGTTTGGAACACGCCAGGGCATGATGGGATCCCCCTAAGAAAAACTTTTCAACCCTACAGCAGTTAGGCAAGAGCAAGGAGGCACAGGACTCAAGAAGAACCCAAAAATGTCCCAACGCCTACCATACAGTCTTATCATCTATGGTGAGAGACACTGGGCCCAGTTTCCAGCACGTGCAGCTCCCCATCAAGAAGATTGGGTCATCTGATGACATGCTGGTGACCCATTACTTGGGTCCACTCACGTCTTCAGTTCCAAAATGCAGTCTTAAGCAGAACGCTCAAAAAATGTTGAACGTATACAAGCTGGCTTTAGGATCGGGGGGGTGGTGTGTGGTATGTTCGAGGGAAGCCTGGAATGCATTTTGAAGCTGTTTTCGTGACTGCGCAAAAGTTGCCCCGCCAAAAAAGAACAAATCAGAACCCAGACCGAATGGGGGAGTGCAGAGTAGAGAATTCAGCGGGAGCATTATGGAGGTTTTCATAACTTCTGCAGATCTACGTACATAGGGGAAGAGCAGAAGGGTGGGGAAGACAGTGGGGTAGGGAAAGGAGGGAACATAAAACTCCTGATTTAGAACCACCACTGCTGTGGACCCTACTACTCTGCTGAACCTAAAATTTTCAGCACTTGTACGTATCAAATAGGTGGCCGGTACATTGAAAGTGCAGCCTCAGTGTTCTTATTTCTTGAAGAAACGTTCCGTGGAGGTGGTCCATCAGGCGGGGATAAGAGCCTGTGACTAATGGGGCCGCTAACTTTCCACCGGCTCCCGTCTATTCGTGGAGAGCAATGTACTATACTGATGGTGTGATTGAAGATATCGTCACGACAGATGCAGAACCAGGGAATTAAGATTCCTCAGGAACTCAGGAGAACAAAAACATATCTAGGGGAGATCCAACCAGCAGCTGCAGGAAGGAAGCCCCCTCCAGTTAAGCCAAATAACTTTTCTTCCCAGATGTGTATATAGTTCGAATGCGTGCGAGAGGCCTTCTGGTCCCAAATAAGGGAAGATTTGGTAGAAATATCTTTGGAAGCAGTCCCCTGCTAACATCCGCCTCACTGGATGGCCTCTCCTCAGGACTCTCCTGGCCAGTATTCCCAAAAGGACCCCTCAAGGTTGCCAGCAAATGACTGTACTGCAAGGTCATGCACACACAATCATCGGAGAGCAAACAAAACAATAAATATCAGGATTTGAAACATCCAAAAACAGTAATGTCAATAGAAGGGGCAGGGCATGGTGCACATGGAGGAGAGGACACACCATTAATGCTCCCCTCTCTGCGTGATCACTGCCCCTCCCTCCACCCCCTTCCCCCTCTTCCCCCTGTCCCTTTTCCTCAGCCGTCCCTTACATACTAGGAAATGAATTAGTGATCCTCAGTGCCCAGTCACCCAGGGAAGATCTCGGACCCATACACCCCCGCGCTCAACCCTAGACATCACCCTCCCAGCCCATGGATCAGCTGACACTTTCAAGAAGAAAATACAAATTTCTTGAAGAAGAAAAGACATGGCGGCCCATTGGTGTGCCATTTATTTGCTTTATTCATCGCCGTGGCTTCACCTGTGGCAGAGAGGGTGCAGCCGTACATGGTAGGAAGTCGCCCACCGAATGCGGGAGGAAGAAGAGAACACAAAGCTGGATGCAGGTAGTAAGTAGTACACGGTTGTGTTTCAAGTCGCCAGAAAACCATCATGCACAGACACGCATATGTATCAGAGACAGTGGGCCAGCCGGCGATGATTAGGCTGCGCTTTTTCTGCATTTTTTGTGGTAATCACTGATTCCATCTCCCTCATTCATTTCATGAAATATTGCATGCATATGCAACTGGCGGCTCACTCAAAATTGGAACCCACTATCCGTCATATATACGATGCACCTTCTTTCGGGGCGTGCTATCTTCTGCGCCACTTCGGTTTTCCTTGCTGTTTTACATTAGTCATCTTCGACGCTAGGCCGTTCTGGACCTCTCCAAACTTTTGTCTAGTACGTTTTTGTCCTTTTTCTTTTCTGCAGGATGTATAAGGTTTTTGCTTATGTTTTTCATTTTTCTCCCTTCGACTTTTGCGCCTTAGCGAGTGTGCGTAGGATTTTGAACTCTGTTTCAATTTACGCACGTGTCCTCACCTTCTAATTTAGGCACCGTCCTTCTTCTCCGGTGGTTTACCTGACAAGCTTCCATCACCTTTTCATTCTCACGCTTCCTTGAATTCTCACCTCCACCTCCACGTTGCCTTCCCGCGCTGTGCCTTTCAGCCCAAGTAGTTTTCTGCCTCTTGATCTTCTTAGCAAATCTTCAATTGTCTAACCCCTGCTTCTCCTATCTCCCCCATTCTTCCTCCTTTCCTCGTTCATGCGCCATCCTTCCCTTCCTTCTCGAAAACCTTCTTCCCGCTCATTTCTCCCTTCGTCCTCATTGGTCCCTTGGTAGTGCATGTGGGATCGTCATGTGGAGTGTGCCTACATCGCCCACACCCCACATCCATATGCACGGTCGCCCATTTTTTTGTATACCCTCTGCATGCATGCTGTTACATACTTCAATGAGTATGGGCAGAACCAAAGATCAACCAATGTAGGATGAGCATATATGCAGCGGAAGTCTGATAAACGGACTGACTCACATAGACTGACTCACACAGACTGACCCAAGAATCACTCCACACACATACAATCGTGAGATGGTGGGGTCTGGGCCAAGCATAGACGATACCCAGACCTCGTACAMACATACACAGATGAGAGGTGGGAGGAGAGACRAAGGAGGTGGGGGAGGTAGGCAGCACCGAAGGTCACCGAGATAGAATCTGATAGGTCACCGATATGGTAGTCCAAAATGTCATCCAACAAGATCAAAATGTCGAGGACAATAGGTCACCAGTGTCCGAACGGTGATGCAGCGGAGTATCAACCCCAACAATCTCCAAGTCTCCAATCCGGTAAGTACCACAGTCTCATACCACTGAAGTCCAACACTGATCTCTGTCCAACTAGTATAAGTCTCCAATCTGAAGAAGAAGAAGAAGAAGAAGGAGCCGAGGAGGAGAGAGAGAGAGAGGGGACTGCCGATGGGAGGGAGGAGAGAAGCCTCCAACTCCCAATACCTCAGGCGGCTATGGCCGCCGGTAACCCAGTCGCCGCTGCTGCTGCTCCGCTCGCTGCTRCTGCGCTAATCTGCGCTGCGCTRTTCCTCGCTGCTCCTGCGCTAATCTTAGCGCCAGCGCTGTATCGCGCTGTACCATACCATACCGGTAGAATGCCGGTAGGTCGATCCTGGACTGAGGCTGGAACGGTTCTATATACCGGTGGGGCAGAGGCCGGCCTCAATGCTGCGAGGCCTGGCCGTGCCCTGAACCGTCCAGATGGACGGTTCAGCCCCAACCGGCGGGCGGCAGCCTCAAGAGCGCCGCCAGGCCCAAACGGTAATGTCGTTTGGGCCTGCCCGTCGGGTCTGGTCCAAGGTGAGGCCTTTATGGCCTGTAGTACCCCCAAGGTCGGGCCTTTAGGCCCTGATGTGTCCCTCTAGTCCTAAGTCGGGTCCGGTAGGACCCGTGTGGCGTCGAAGATGTAACACATGCAATCTTCCCCCTCTGCGCAGCTATAAATTCCACAACCGGGATCCTTTTCTCTCTATTTGTCATGATTGGCTATGATTTTGGTTAATCGGCAAGTCAAAATATTTTGGCGTGCTGATACGGATAAGTGGGGTAATGTTGCATACTGTAACGTGCATACCAGAACAAGAACCGACCTTTCAATACAAAGTATAAGATAGCACAGCGGAAGACTTAAATACCAGTGATCCGAACAATCAATGTTG